ATCACTTAACTTTTTTACAAGCCCAGTTTTTGTACTGTTCTCACCCTGTGACTCCATGTACTATGCCCCACACAAGTACTTTGATCCACTGCTGCTCTTCAGCGCATTCACTGATCTTGCTGCACATGATGGCATCTTGATGATAAGCTTTTACTTGCAAGAGCAAGGAAGCGTGAAAGAGGACAAGACAAATCTCTGAGTCTAGGCAGGAAAAGAGGCACATCCACTACTGCAGTGTAGAGAACAGCACCACAGGGACAACTACTAGGCTCATTTTATAAGCCATGCTAGTTTAACCAGGCAGTTGGAAACATCTTATAAGCCGTGCTAGCTTAACCTGGCAGTTGGAAACACAGCACTGATGTACAACCACTGCAGCCAAGACTTTATCTACTGTTCATGAGGATCCCAAGTACACACGTGGCACCACGCTATCTTACAGCTGGAAGGTGATCAGTAACTTTGGCCACTTCGCTGGCTGACCCATACCACAATCCTCTACCTTCTCTCAAGCAATCTCTCTCTACAAAAAATACACCTGTTCTTCTTTTATTTGTGTGGAGTGGAGATGTTTCTTCTGCACTGATGACCTTATCTCTTATTTCTTGACTCATGGTCTCTCATTAAATAGTCTTAGTGACCAATATGCCTTATGGAGTTTTCTTCTGTGGTTGCTCATGTTCACTCCATAACACAACGACCCAGTAGAGTTTTCCAGTCTTTGCTGGCACCATCCTGAGCACAGCCCTAGGGATAGCTTTGTGTGCACAACTGAATGGGCAATATGGGGACAGAAATCAGTAAAGGAGAAAGCTAGTGGTATTGGATGATCTAATCTTTTTTAGTCGGAGTTGAATGGGAACAAATGAACGTGCCCCCCTCTCCTAGCTGGGATCTTCAAATTTGTATTCAGCAAAACAAAGAAGTACACAAAAAAATCCTGGCCATATTCTGTTTTGGTCTCACAAAAACAGGTGTATCAACAGAACCTTAACAAACAAAAACAAGTTACCTGTCCTCACTGCTTAGATATAGGTTTTGAACCCTGTGGGCTACCTGGCAGGTTGCAACTCTAATTAGGTTTGTGATAGTCTACGAGACAAAACCCTATAAAATTAAGGTGCTACACATACGTAAGCATACTATCTGTCAATGCAGCAGCACAGTAGAAGGGTATAGTGGTAAAGACTGCTGCGCAGACTTCTGGAGTAAAGTACAGGTAGACTTGGGGCACAACAAACAGTAGCTGTCCTAGAACTTGTCGACAGTGACTGTGAAAGACAAACATAGCCCTGGTATGCCAAGAAACATCTAACCAACATATCCTCAAGGGTGGTCCTGGCAACAGACATTGTGAATACTCAGAAATCTGACCTCAAATTTATCCGTGAACACTGTCTTACAGAGCTGTGTGAATAAAGCCATAAAGAAAGTTAATCTCAGGTTTCCCAGGAATACTAAACAAGGGATGAAGCAATCCCATGCGCAAATACAAGCTGGGTGGAGAATGGATTGAGAGCAGCCCTGAGGAGAAGGACTTGGGGTATTGGTTGATAAGAAGCTCAACATGACCCAGCAATGTGTGCTTGCAGCCCATAAAGCCAACCACATCAGGGGCTGCATCAAAAAAAGCGTGCCCAGCAGGTCAAGGGAGGTGATTCTGCCCCTATACTCTGCTCTGGTGAGACCCCACCTGGAGGGCTCTGGGGCCCCCAAGATAAGAAGGACATGGACCTGTTGGAGGAGTCCAGAGGAGGGCCACAAAGACGACCAGAGGCAAGCTGAGAGAGCTGGGGCTGTTCAGCCTGGGGAAGAGAAGGCTCCAAGGTGACCTTGTTGCAGTCTTCCAGTACTTAAAGGGGGCCTACAGGAAAGATGGGGAGGGCTCTTTATCAGGTAGTCTAGCAATAGGATGAGGGGTAACGGTTTTAAATTAAAAGGGAGTAGATTTAGATTAGTTATTCAGAAGAAATTCTTTACTGTGAGGGTAGTGAGACAGTGGAATAGGTTGCTCAGGGAAGTTGTGGATGCCCCATCCCTGGAAGTGTTCAAAGCCAGGTTGGATGGGGCTTTGAGTAACCTTTGAGTAACCTGTGAGTGGAAGGTGTCCCTGCTCATGGCAGGGGGTTTGGAACTAGATGATCTTTAAGGTCCCTTCCAACTCTAAACATTCTATGATCTACGATGAAATTTCTGGCTCCAAAAGATATCACAAAAGTCAACACATCAACTGAACGCCATTTTAAAAATTGAAATTTATAGGACTTATGTTGGCACAAGGCACAGGAGAAAGGTCACTATTTGAATAATTAAAAAAACCACTAACTTTACTATTAAACTGGGGGGGGGGTGTGTGTGTGTTACATTTTTGCCCGTACTTGACACCTTCAGCGTCCCACCCACCAGTTAAAAAAAAATTGAAGTTGATACTCTGAATTCTGTTTGTAGACCATTCTTCAGATTAAGATCTGCTGAATTCATTGGAATAAAGGATAAAGACCTTTAAATTTTAGGGAATAAGGGAAAAAAAAAATCAGATAGCTAGTGGTAATGTGGCATTGAAGTTCCATTTTGCCTAGCTGTACATAAAATCATTACTTCCATTCTGACAAAAACCGAAGTTCTTCCTTTAAACTATGAATTACAGTAACCATTTTACACACAGGGACGTGAAAAATTTTTCACTGAAACCTTGAAAACCTTCCTTGTTACCCAATTAAGACAAGCTTAGCAGCCATATTTACCAAATAGGAATGGATCTGACAGAGCAATGCTAATTTCTTCAAAATTACCATTTACTGAAAAAATATAGGAAAATTTTAACAAAAGACTCAAAGATAAATTGCATTTTTCTGTTAGTAGGAAGCATATAATTTTGGGTGTGTTTGTGTTTGGTTTTTTTTTTTACTGCTTGTTAAACTACATAAACTCTTATCTGTTTAGAGTGGAAAAGACTTTTTGATCATGCTGAAGTTACTCTTATGGCTTATTTACTAAAGCAAGTTAAATATTTATGTAAACATTTCAGTCAAAACAAAAAGATTTGTGGTAAGATATAGCTATAGCATTTCTTTCTTTTTTTTTTTTTTTTTTTTTTACAGAAGCCTTAATTCTTAACTAGTTACAGGTCTCTGATGTTTGGTATTTCAATATTTTATTGATAAAGGTATGCAGTGCTGTACAAAATATAAAATCTTTATATACTCCAAGGGCAAATTACTTCCCTTCCCACTTGGGGATAGTTTATTTTTAATGCTGTTCTTTAAGTTTTTAATTCTTCATGGGTTCTAAAGCAATTTTGAATTATAACATACATATTTAATAGTAATGACATCCAGGGAAATATTTTCTGTGGTGGAGATAATATATACACATTAATAGTAATATATTAAAAAAACCCTAAGAGAACGTACATAACATAGTTCTCATTTAACCCTAAACAGGCAGTAAGACATTATTCAGGGTGGTGTTTTCCTTCCAGGTGTTTTCACAGTTTAAAAGGATGAAGGATTGATCTGCCACTTCAAGTAAACTTAATTTTTTTAAATCATAAATGGTATTAAACTGTAAAAGAGTAGATTTAGATTAGATACTATGAAGAAATTCTTTACTGTGAGGGTGGTGAGGCACTGGAACAGGGTGCCCAGGGAAGCTGTGGATGCCCCATCCCTGGAAGTGTTCAAGGCCAGGTTGGATGGGGTTTTGAGTAACCTGGTCTAGTGGGAGGGGGGTTGGAAATACATGATCTTCAAGGTCCTTTCCAACTCTAATCATTCTATGATTCTATGATAAATATTTCAATTATTCACAAGTCAAGTATTTCAGTGTCATTTGCTGAAAAAGGAAGGTTATTTGGTAGTAACTAGGTATTCTTTGAGAATAACTGTCTATGTGTACATCATACAGCATCCACAAACCTAAGGGCCTGAACAGGAGATACTTAGCCTGTTAGTACCTGCAAGGCTGTTTCATGTTCTGCTTCCACAACACTCAGACCATATGCATAAAGCGATGGGAAATGCCCTTCTGCCTTTAATTCCCTTCATCCTGAAGAGTCTCTATTAAAAAAAAAAAAAACATAGCAAAACCACCCAGGACTTCTGTATTCACTCAGTAGAACTCTTGCTGAAGTCCCTCAATTTCCACTACTGAGAGCTCTTGGGCTCCTAAATTAATTTTCAAAGAATATATCACTGGACCATAGAATAATTCAGGCTGGAAGGGGCCCCAGGAACTCATCTAGTTCAAAGCACAGCCAACTATCACTTGAAACCAGGTTGCTCAGAGCATTATTACCCAAATGGGTTTGAAAACATCCAAGAATGCACAACCTCTCCAGGCAACCTGTTCCACTGCTGAACTGTCTGTACAGTGAAAATGTTCTCTTACACCATGTCTGACATGTTCTTGTTTCAGTTTATGTCCGTTGTCTCTCCTCCTCCCACCATGGGGAAGTGCCTGGCTCCATCTTTCCAATGGCCTCCCTGCAGGCACTGGCAGTTGCCTCAAAACATTACTTGGTTGCCTCATTACTTGGCTCCTGAGTGCCATCACTCACACCCCCTTGCAGCAAACAGACACCGAGCACCAGCATCTGCAGCTCCAAGGCTCCCTTCTCCAACATGTCCCTTTTCCCCTTTGTGAAAAGCCCAGCCAAAATCCCTCATCTGTCTATAACTCAGCTCAAGAGCAGTGTCACATGCTGTTGCTGCCTGCACTACTCTTGAAGCAAGGGAAAACCAGAGGTGACAGCTTCTCCTTGGCGAGCCCCAAGCCCTCTGCTGCTCTTCTCATTAGACTATCAGCCCACCTGGATTGCCATGAACTACCCTTCACTCTGCTCACCACAGCCACCGCACACACCTGCCTGCTGTCTGTGCCCTCACACCAAATGGAAACCCAGCAGAAGCAGCTGCCTTTCCAGAATGAGCCTCCCAAACACCACTGCCAGCAGGCCCTTTCTTCCAAGGCTATAAGCTCACTTGAAAACGGCACCCGTGATGAACCATCCAAGCAGCTTGTCAACATCCCTGCACTCTGCTTCCACCTGCGCTGCCCTCACAGTAAGTTAACACACGGTACAGCTATTTGCCCCTGCAGGCAACATTTTTCTCTACTAGCCAACACACCCCCTGCAAGGTTTACAAGCTCTCCAGAACCTCCTCAACCCCATTATTGCTTGGTTCATGAATGCTGCCACACACCAGTGCCCTCCACACTGCCCTGACAACAAACAGAAGTACAGCAAGTGTCCCCTGCTCTGGGGCGAAGCTTCCAAATCTCCAGTACCCCCAAACTCAGGTTCCTTCTTGCAAAGCTGCAAGCCCATCTGAACCCCTGCTGCCCCCAACCACCCCACACATAGCTTGAGAATGCCATCACAACACTCTCAGCGTAAACTGAAGCTCAGCAAAGATGTCAGCCACTTCATGGCAAGGCTGTTCCACCACACACACCACCAGGTACCTTTTCCTGAGAGAATGAGTCTCTGAGCACCCACCTCAGATGCCCTGGATATAGCTCACAAGCACCACCACACACTGTTATCTCATATATAGCCCTCATAAATTAGGGCTCAGCAAAGGCAAAAACCAGTCTGAGGTGAGGCTCTCGCAGTCCCTTCACCAACAGATACCCCTTCTTGAGGCTGTGAGTCCCATCTCTCACATGACCTCACACCTAGTTCATGACCACTGTTGCTGCTACAAGCTCCTGGCACCCACACTGGCCTCACAGCAACTGGAAGCTCACCACTCCAGGGCCAAGCTCCCCCTGCCCCAAATCGTTTCTTCTCACAAGGCTACAGAATGGCCTGAATCTAAACAACCTCTCTCTTGGCTCATGGGTGCCTTTGCTGAGATTCAACAAGGCTAAGTGCCTGGTCCCGCGCTTGTGTTAAAACAACTCCATGCACAGCCTTGGGAAACAGTGGCTGGAAAGCTCCCTGGAGGAAAAGGACCTGGGGGTATCGGTTCACAGACAGCTGAATATGAGCCAGCAGTGTGCCCAGGTGACCAACAAGGCCAACAGCATCCTGGCTTGTATGAGGAACAGTGTGAGCAGCAGGACCAGGGAAGTGATCATCCCCCTGTACTCAGCACTGGTGAGGCCCCACCTCTAATACTGTGTTCAATTTTGGGCCCCTCACTACAAGAAAGACACTGAGGTTCTGAACCGTGTCCAAAGAAGAGCAACGAAGCTGGTGAGGGGTCTAGAGCCCAAGTCTTATGAGGAGTGGCTGAGGGAACTGGGGCTGTGTAGCCTGGAGAAAAGGAGGGTCAGGGGAAACCTTAACACTCTCTACAGCTAGCTGAAAGGAGATGGTAGCGAGGCGGGTGTCAGTCTCTTCTCCCAAGTAACCAGTGACAGGACGAGAGCAAATGGCCTCACGTTGTGCCAGGGGAGGTTTAGATTGGATATTAGGAAAAATTTCTTCACAGAAAGGGTTGTGAAGCACTGGAACAGGCTGCCCAGGGAAGTGGTTGAGCTACCATCCCTGGAGGTATTTAAAAGATGGGTAAACATGGTGCTGAGGTTTAATGGTAACTTGGCAGTGTTAGATTTACAGATGGACTCAATGACCTTAAGCATCTTTTCCAACCTAAACGATTCCATGATTCTGTGATTTGCTCACCGCAAATGGAAACATAGCAAAGACATCTGCTGCTGCAGTATGAGAATGTGGCCACTCCTGCACGCTGGCAGGTCCCTTCCCACAGCTCTGCAAGCCCCTTCTACCCAGGAAAAATAAAAAAACAAACACCAAAACCACAGCAAGCTCACGCACATTTTCGCCCCTGAGCCGCCTGCACACCAAGCAGACACCCAGCGCAGCGGCCTGTGCTGCAGAACACGGCTCCCCACCCGACCCCTGGGGCACTCCGAGACTCCTCTGTCCCTGACCCGCACACGCAGCGCAGGAAAGCTCAACCTGCCCGTGAT